TTTGCCTATACACTTAAAATAACATTATGTAGTATATGTAAAATAACATCTACAATAAAATTACAATATTATATTTATAATAAAATCTCTGTCAATATAATTAAGTAATTCTACTCAGAATGTCATTTACTATCAAATAAAGTAAAAAGCGAGGTAAAAAGATACCGAGAGTACAGTTTAAAAATCAAAACTTCTTGTAATTTCCGGTGTAATAGGAAGTGACCGAAACTAATTGAATACGTTAATCAATCCTGATTTATATCAACTTTTAAAATCAGTCTGTATACAGGGTGTCCCAACATTCCGTGGACTTAGAACTACTACGTATTTTTGGAATGAAAATAATTTCATTGGACACAAATTAGCTCTATACCAAAGTGCTTCGTTTGTCTGCTATCAAACTTTAAAAAAATAAACACATTTTTAAAATATAAAAATATTTTTCCAGCTGACTTCCAAAAAATATTTTTTTGTCACATCAAGCTATGAAGGCGAATACAATTTTATTATGTCCTAATAATCTAGTTAGCAAAAAAATTAATTTTTAGTACCACAAATTATATTTGACAATATGCTTCATAAAAAGCTTCAATAAAAAGAATTAATGATTTTAAATTAATTAACCTTCGGGTTTATTTTTGATTGATGCCCTCTAACGGACAAACAGCACTTTTGTATAAAGGTAAATTATGTGCAATTAACTTATTTTGATTCAAAAAGTAAGTATTTGGTCTATGTCCACGGAATATTTGAACTCCCTGTATATTTTGTACGTCTGCTTTGGAAAAATAAATTCCCCTAAAATAAAATTTTTAAAATTAATAATTAAAAAAAATAATTCTCCAAATTTCTTGATTTTTGTGAGTGTCAGTGAACGAAGCCCTTTTGTATAGAGGTAAATTGAGTCAAATGAACTTAATTTGATTCCAAAAATACGTAGTAGTTCCACGGAAAATTTGGTCATCCTGTATATTTAATTTTTGAATATCTGTACAATCTATGCAAAAACACTTTAATTAAATCTAACGAGTGTATTTTTGTCCAGACAGACGGAGTCTGCATGTCACTTGAAAAAAAAACATAGCCAGACGAAGTAAACATCCCAATAAATATTTTCCAGCATTAGTCCAAGGAATACGTAGGGTTGTTTACGCCCAGTTAATTTATTCAATAAAAGTTGACAATTTTAATTTGCCTCGTGTCGACAAAACGAATTACGTATATGCATTCGTACAACGAATTGATGAAACGAGAGGAAATTTCTTTATTGTGCTCCATACATTTTTATTTTTTTAGAACAAATAATTCTATATACTGAGTATCCACTTTTAGTTGCAACTTGGAATGTCTTTTCGTGTAATGTTAAAGATAAATAGATAGTGAAGAAGATACGGGCACCTTAAATTTTTAATGTATTTTAGTGTACCGATTTTCGAATTTTTTAAGCAATTTGAATCTAAATTATTTGACTATTTAGTATCTCTTTCTAAATTAAAAATAAAAGTTTACATCTGTCAATTTTACGAGGGAAAACAAAATGTTGTTATTTAGGTGAAAATTTGAAACAGCCTGTGGAATACGTTAACAAAGCAAGGAATTTAAGGTACCTTTTTAGGTACGTCTTTTCTCGATCTTTTGTTTTTTGATTCGTCTCAATAGCTTTATTTTTATTGGAGATTTTAAATAAGCTTTTGAATAAGAGAGTAACGATTTACAGCAATTTTAGCATTGATTTTGGGTTCTCATCAACACACTTATAAAATAGTGTTTATTGTTTCTGTAATGTCACTCTGAGTGAAAAGTCATATTATTATTGTTTTATCTTTTACTCTAGTAGAGATGGTTTAAAGTTCGGATATTGCTGCTTTAATTGATCATGGTAGAGATCAACTTTTGGACTTAAAACCATATCTGCTAACTGCCCAACAGGCAATAATAATATGATTTTTCAAAGCCAGTGACATTACATAAATCATAAACTATTTTAGAGGTCTGTTGACTAGGACCAATAGCATGGTTTTAATATAAAAAAATACGAAAAAAAGTTAGTGTCTTCTTCAAAAGCGAATATCTCCAAAAAATAAAGCTATTGAGATGAATCCAAAAATAAACTACTGAGAAAAGATACACTTAGATGATAAAATGATTTTTAAATTTCTTGTTTTGTTAACGTACGCCACAGGGTGTTTCAAACTTGTACCAAAATATCAACATTTTGTTTTCCATCATATAATTGACAGATGACAACTTTCATTTCTAATTTAGAAATAGATACTAAAAAGCAGGGTTGGAAAAAATCATGATTTTTTTAAAAAAAAATAAGAAAAATCAGTTTTTTTTTATTTAAATCAGATTGTTTGGATTTAAATCAAATTTTTTTGATTTTAATAGAAAACATTATTTAAATCGGATTTCCAAATAATTAGGACTTAATTCCAATTAAAGTTTTATCCTAAATGGCTAAATCTTCATAACTCTGCCCAATACTGACAACATTAACAATTCTACGTCGCGTGTCATTTTCCCTCATCGGTCACCAATATATTCCGCAAAAAAGTCGCTCGCATCAGATCAAAAGGATTTTTTTTGAAATGCCACAAGAGTATTAATTTTTGTCATTTCAACGTCTAGGCATAAAAGTAAAGCACTTTTACACAAAAGTACAAAAATATATTATTAAACTGATCAAGCGTCAATTTCAACGAGTGTACAAATTGTTACTCGATTACTTACAAGGCATTACTTTTTATATTATTTGCAACGTTTGAAATTGATCAAAAAATTATTTGTAATGTTTAATTTGTAAAAATATAGTATATTCTACTCAGAGTAAAAATGTACTTTTGTGCCTCCCTGTTTACACTGGTCCGTCAAACATAAAACCTTGTCAAAAAAATATAATTTTTAATCTTTACTCCTTACACAATACACTATTGTTCGGAAATAGTCTTAAGTCGAGAATCAAATTAGTATTATATATTGTCAAAGTGTAAAATAAAGAAATATAAAACAGCATATTTTCTGACAAAGATTTGAAGATATAGTCTAACATCAAAAGAACCCTTTTCTGCACTAGAGGTTGCGAATGTAATGTATTCGAACAGCATTTTTTTGTCACTTGTACATAAATTTCAAAATAAATCTCTGCCCTTTAGAAGTTAGAAGTCTAATGGATTCACACGAAATTACTTCAAAAATCGGTTCAACATTTTAATTGATAAATAGATATGTAGTAGAAGGGCAGTAGGTATATGTGTTATACAAATGATTTTTTATATAGTTTTATAACATTTACAATTTTTTGTCAATTTATTAAAGGTATTTAACCATTACAGTAGCAAGTGTAACATTTTATTTAACGAATAGATATGGGTATATATGTTATAGAAATATTTTTTATAGTTTTCTAGGACACATTTTTATAACTTTTACAGTTATTTTTCGATTTATTGTAAAGTTTTAAAAAAAGTTGATTTTTTGATTTAAATCACCTGATTAAAATTAAAAAAAAATCACTTAATTATAATATATTAAATCATGATTTAAATCATGCCAACCCTGCTAAAAAGTCAAATAACCTAGCTACAAATTGCTTAAAAAATCATCAAAATCGGTCCACTTGAACACAATATATAAATCTTTAAAATACATGTAAATTTTAGGGTGCCCGTTTTTCTTGCCGGTGAGTGTATTTCACCTGAATTGACAGTGGTGCATTCTGTATTGGTTTCATTTCGAGTGAAGTATCAAATTAATATAACGATGAAAGAAGGGTTAGATGAGGTAGAACAACTCAAAAATGGCAAAGTACCCGGACCTGGAGGTATCAATATTGAACTTATTAAGGCAGGTCCGTCAATTTTCATTCAATTTTTAAAAATAATCTTTGATAAATGCCGCCAGGATGCTGACCTTCCGTCACAATGGAAAAAGGCGGAAATTGCATCTAGATTCAAAAAAGGGGACCAAAGAGACTGCAAGAGCTATAGGGGCATTAGTGTTTTTGGCACTGTAGAATGTATGGGCGAATATTGAAACTTAGAATGGAAAGAGAATTTGAAGAGTACTTGGAGGAGCAGAATCGGTTTAAAGTTAAAAGGCAAATCCTGCACAGATGGAGTTTTTACATTAAAAAATTTCATCGAAAAATGGATCGAGCGACGACGATTTATTGACTTGCGAAAGGCCTATGATACTGTGCCATTGAGCAAGATATGGCCAGCAATGGAAAAATCGTAGCAATGAAGTCTATATTATCGTAGTCAAAAACCTTTATTGTGGAAGTAAAAGCTACATTAAAATGGGCGGTAACACTTCTGAAGTACCAGTCCTAGACCCGGTATACCGGTTCCAACAATTAGATCCGTGAGACCGATACTGAACCGGTCTACCGGCTGGACCGGTTGGACCGGATGGACCGAAAAACCGATTGGACCGGAAGACCGGATGAACCGGAATATCAGAAAGACCGAAATAACAGTTTTGATTGTTGTGCCAGTCAGCATATACCTCATGATACCGTATTAAAACATGCAAATAGAAAGTTCTCGTATCTGTAACGATGAGTTAATACGGTAAGGTAATAAATATGGTATTTTGAGGGATAAACTAGATTTCTTGGAATATATTGTATATCTGTCCGTTTATTTATAAAAAAATTGAAAAAGTACTTGGAGCTGCTGTTCTTGGAGATATAAATGGAGCGGAAATAAGAGCTATTTTACATACTATAGCTCTTATTTCCGCTATTTTACATATTTTAAATAATAGAGTAGAACTCCGCCTGTGGTTTCTAAGGAGTGAATTGAGTAGCTCTAAGGGGGCCATTGCTGGTCCCAAGCCCGGATAAAGGAGGAGGGTTGGGGCTATAGGCTAGCTCCCTATAACCCGTAAAAGCTACAAATGCTAAAAAACCTAACCAAAGCCTCGGAACTGGACGGAAAAAACAAAGCAGACTTAAGCAACGGAAAAGCTTTGTAACTAGGAAAATAAATGAAGTAATGATAGAAATTAAAAATCTAAAACTAGACGTCGCGGTAATCACAGAGACAAAGAAAAAAGTTCAAGAATCGGAAAGCATGGGCCAATATGACCATTTCTACAGTGGAGTATCTAAAGACCGAAGAGCACAACAAGGAGTATCTGTACTTATAAAAAGAAACCTTAGAAAACATGTGCAGTCATGGGAAGCTATCAGTGAACGAATCATTAAGATAAATATGACTGTACGTGAAAATAGAATAACTATCTTTGGGGTATATGGTATAAATGACGACTCTTTAGTAAATGTTAAAGACAAGTTTTTCGAAGATCTGAATAACGAAATAAAAAAATTGGAAAAAAACTAGAGAAATCATTATACTAGAAGACTTGAACTGCAGAGTTGGCAAAACTACAGATAGCCAAGTTGTAGGACCCTATGGAGAAGATATAAAAAATGACAACGGAAATCGACTAATAGCCTTATGCGTACAAATCACTTAAAAATAATGAATGGATTCTACCAACATTGAGATATACACAAATACACATGGATACAAAATACAAGGGGATTAAGATCTATAATTGACTATAATATCATTAGAAAAGACTCCAAAATAAAAGTAAAAGATGTAAGAGTGTATAGAGGAGCCATGTGTGGTAGTGATCATAATCTACTCAAAGCTACAATAGTACACATACCGAGAAGAACCGATGTAAATATGGAAGACAAAGAACAACAAAAAAGCAACAAAGAACAACAAAAGAATATAACATAGATAGCTTTGACAATGAGAGTACAAAAGAACTATACAGAAAACGCCTAGATGAGAAATTAATAAATACAAGATTCGAAGACCTCGAAATATATCACGAACACATTAAAAACAGTATACACTCAGCTGCGCTGGAGGCCTTGGGACCTTATGAGCATACTAAGTAAACCATATTGGTGGGATCCAGATATAGAAAGTATTATAAGTGAAAAAAGAGAAAAATATCAACAATTTTTAAATACAAATAGTGACAATGATAAAGTAGAATATAAAAAAATACAAGCAATAGTCAGGCGCAAAATAACAGAAGAAAATGAAGCTTGGGAACGAAAATGTATGAAAATCAATACTTATCTGGGCGGAAGAAAAAGACAATTAAGACAAAACCAAAATAAGGACATAATATCGACAATAACAATGGACAAATGGGAATCGTATTTTAAAACATTACTTACCGAGAACAGAACATATTTTGAGACAGGTAAAGAAACACAAGAAAGGATAACAGTAGCCGCATCTCCCCTCAGAATAACAACTAAAGAAGTAAGGGAAACATGTAAAAATTTAAAAAATGGTAAATCCGCAGGCCCGCGAGATATACCAGAAGAACTAATAAAATACTGGACGGAAAATCTGTACCGACATATAACAAAACTCTTCCAGATGTGCATAGATGGCGCAGAAGTACCAAAAGATTTTAAAACCTCACACATCACGACGATTTTTAAAAAAGGAAATCGAGAAGACTGTGCAAACTATAGAGGCTTGGCAGTGACAAGTACATTAAGTAGAATACATATATGGAAAGATACTAAAGCATAAAATAGAAAATGAATATAAAGAGATAGAAATAGAAGAACAGGCGGGTTTTAGAGCGGGAAGGTCTACTGTGGATCATCTGTTTACCATAACACAGGTCTTAGAGAAAAAAACGACAAAAGATCAAGAGGTACACTTACTATATATAGACCTCCAAAAGGCTTATGACAGCATACCGTTAAATAAATTGTGGGAAACGTTGGAAATAACTAACATAAATGTCAACCTACTTAAAGCAGTTAAGAACTTATATCAGAACACCACAGGTAGAATAAAAATACTAGACTCATTGTCAGAAAGCATAAAAATTACAAAAGGCCTCAAGCAGGGATGTTGCATATCTCCTATACTATTCAAAATATACCTGCAGCAAGCAGTAGAGGAATGGAAATCCCCCCAATAAATGAGGACACCCTATACACCCTATTTTTTGCGGACGACCAGATAGTCCTAGCCCAAGATCACGACGACCTTGAATATATGGCAAGGAAGTTGATAGAGGAGTATAAGAAATGGGGGTTGGAGGTAAATATCACCAAAACTGAATGTATTAATGTAGGGGGGCTACAAGAGAACATAGTCTTAGAGGATGGAAGCGTGATAAAAAACTGTGACAAATATAAATATCTTGGATTGACAATAACTAACGATGGAAAACTGGATGAGGGTATAAAAGATAGAATAATGCAGGAGGGCAATATCTATGTTGAATGTTGTACTGTGGGATCAAGGAATCTCTAAAGCTAATAAGAAGAACATATATAATACGGTAGTGAAAAGCATAATAACTTACGGAAGCGAAGTATGGCAGTTATAAAGCGGGACAGAAAACATGCTATTAGCGACCGAAATGGATTACTGGAGGAGGTCTGCTGGAAAATCGAAAAGAGAACAAATAACCAACGACAGAGTAAGAGAGATTATTGGAGCAGAACACACAATTGTGGACGACATAAGAACAAAACAACTCATATGGTTTGGTCATGTCCAACGAATGCCCGATCACAGAACACCAAAACAAATTTTACTGTGGACACCTCGAGGCAGAAATAAAAGAGGAAGGCCGCGACGAAGCTGGAGGGAGGGTGTGGATAAAGAACTAGAAAATAGAGAAATACCTGATGATATTTGTCTGCCAATCGGGGATTCTATGCTCTATACTCTTCTCTTCGCCGATGATCAAGTTTTGATAACAGGAGACCGAGATGATGCTAACTACATACTGACGGTGCCTGAGAATGAGTTGGAAGCTTTGGTTTTTTGATGTTATAAATTTAAATAAAGTCCATAAACGAATGCCAATTTTGAAAATAGCTACTAAATGTCACTAGAAAATTTCCACGACACCAGCCATCTTGATTGCCATTTTATTGAAAAAATAGCTTTTTATTTAAAATCTAAGCCAGACAGAAAACCCTAATATAGTTTGCAAGAGCATTTAAATCTGCTTCTACAAAGGGTTTTGTGCCTGAATTAACGTTAAGTTTTTGATGTAAAATAAATATTTAAAATAGTTCAGCAATTTTTGGTGCTCCTCTATACATTATACATTAAAGGAAGCAATCAAATTTTTCAATAAAGTTTATTTCTCTACCTTTAAGCTCAGCATAAGAATTAATTCTAAAAAGTAATGTACAGGGTATTGACAATTTTTTCTATTATAGCATGCATATTTAAATATCTTTAAATATCTCATAAACCAAAGTTTTTAGACATATTTAACCCTTATAATAAATATCTTTTTTTAGGTCCAGGAATCCAAAAATGAAATACCTGGTGTTCCGTAAGAAAAAATGTAACTTTGGTATGGATCTTAGTTCTGAAATTTCCTGTATGTTCCTAAATAAATTAAATTATGCACATCATGTACTCATAAAATTTTTATTTTTACATTTTCTGTTTTCGTATAATCAACCGAGGCGAACGATGTGCGCCACCCTGTATAAATAATAATAACATTTAATATAAAAGAGAATGAAATTAATTACTGTACGAGGGCAAAATTTTCGAAAAAAATATTCTTACTTTTTTATTTCAGATGCTTATGCATTTTCAATATTTACCGCGAGTGCTAAGCTGCTAAAACTCCACCGCATAATAAATAACTCAATAAACTAAAGGATTTTGTCGAGGTCGTTGAAACGGAGCGTTCGTCGCGACTCTTGGAGTAATTTTCAGTAATTAACTAATGATTTTTTTAATTGAAACCTATATACGAGCTTAAAATGTTTCGATGGGACCTTCATCGAATAAAAACATTAATCAATATCTCTTCGTATTTATAAATATTGCTCTTTCCATTTCAGCGTTCTATTTCTGTACATCTTAACAGGAAAGCCAACCAAACACATAAATTTAAATATACCTAGTTTTACTTCGGCATGACAAAACAAGGATTTTGTGAATTTATAAAGATAAATTAACGTAATTAGGTAACCCTGTAAAACAGGCTTGATATTTTGAATTAATTTTAGTTCCTATAGTGCGGTTGTTATATTTTTAATAATAAGTATTTTATTTACATACATATTCAGCTCACTTAACTCTCAGATTCTCTTTAATTGTGACAAGTGATTACTTCTGATTCAGTAATCACTAAACGAATAGAACATTATTTTGTATTGTTTAGAAAATAATGCTTTAACAGAATTTCTGAAAATGTTTGTTAATAGTTCGATAACGAATCATTACATGACAGTAAAATATCTTAATTAAGAAGCCACACATTCGTAACACTTTTCAATTTTATTTTTATATAAGAATTCTTCGTCGGTAGCTCGTTCCAAATAACGTGATTACATGAGTTGTTGGCGAAGGCATAAAGTCTCATACTCACTATGCGCTGATGCAGTTCGTCAATGCGGCGATTTGATGTGCCAATGCGCCAATGCCTCAATGCGCCAATGCGATAGATTGCGCCGGCGTTTCAAAATAAATATCACTATGCTTGCATCAGCGTATAGTGAGTATAGGGCTTAACCGAGGGCTTAACAGTCATCTAGGTACAATAATGTGGTATGTGCTTCTTGTTGGTGATCGAAGTCCACATACAATTATTGAGTATCATCAGCATGCATAACTATGTGGTAATTCAGCTGCATACAGAGTTGTTCACCACATACGACACGGAGTATTGTAGCTAAATGATTAGATTTTTACAAATTGTAAGTTTTGGGTTCGTTGAAGGACTATTAGAGCTACAATTTAAAAATATTTTTACAAGATACAGAGTGTCCCAAATAAATAAAAAAATATCAAAGATATATTTTTTTCAATGGAACACCCTATATATTATTACATTTTTAGTTTCTACGATTAAAATAAAGGTAAATTTGATTAAGGTTTATTACACTTAACCTGCCCGTTTTTGAAATATGTTCAATTTTGTGAAATTTCAGTCAAAATTTTAAGGCTTCATTTCTCCAAGGGTATCAAAGTTTTTAATACTGAATATTTACTGAAGTCTATTTATTGATCAGATATTTTGTTGCAATAATAAAAATAATACTACCTCATACAGAGTGTTTAAAAATTTATTTTAAATTATTTCTAGATTTAAACGGCAATAACTTGTTTAATTTAAATGGAACGCCCTATATAATTTAGGAGAGTCAGATGCACAATTTAATTGTCTATCAAACTGTATTATACCACTTTTTATCTATCCCTTCAAGTTTTCGTAGAAAATTCATTTTCTTATAATTTAGACCTCATTTATCAACATACCCATGGAATATTGACATTTTAGATTGATTTTAAAGCAACAAATCTAC